TCCTTGCATCCTAAGAGTAGGGAGTATGACTGAGTTTTGTTTCAGCCTTCTTATGGAAGCTCAACCACTAGAACATTATAGATATCTATGATTAAGTCCCTACTGACTTAAAATTTGAGATTGAGCAAAGGTTTTTAGGATTAAGTAGGTTTTTGTAGAAATAGCAAATTTCAATTTTTAGCAGATATGTGATGGCCGGATTGGTGTTAGTATTGGGAATGACTTTGCCATTAACCACCACATGTATTCTAGGATCCATCACATGTTTTATAGTTTATTGTAGATCTTGTCATAATCCAAGGAATAGCTGTTGAAAGTTCATCAAGCAGTCAGGGAGTTATTTAAATAATTTGAGCTATGAAAATCATTGATTTCAGGGACTTGAAGTTATTGAAGAGAGAATACAGCACAACACCATCAGATGTTAAAGTGGTTGGATTGAACATTTAGAGTTGCAATCTGGTTATAGTTGTTGAAAAGTTTCATTTGCATTGGTGCATTGAGTACATATGGCAATGAGAACCCCTGATGAAAGCAAGTCCTTAGGTTCATTGTCACTAAACAAATCTACAAGTTTGAGCAACAAGTTGTTTCATAAAGCACCACTCTTCCATGTGTTCAAGTGTGCGAGAGTAGAAATAAGACATTGATAGCTGCTGGTGAAAAGGTTGAGCTCCCAATGGTTGCCAAGGTGGCATAGAAGGAGCAAACAAGCAGATTGCCATGGTGCTTGAGGAGTGTATATAGAAGGAAAGACTATACAATAGGCTGTATTGTTTCCTCTTTCTTGCCCCCGTGGTCAAAAGTAACTTCCCATTTTATATGTTGGGAGCATAGGAGGAGATAGAACTCCTATTGTACAACTTGGCAGGACAAGTGGAATATCTATTGAAGTTGCCAGCAAGGAATGAATTGGTATGGGATCGTGCTTGAGAGTAGCAAATATCAATTTTTCAGTCAGACATTTATGCCCTTATTCTTCGGCCTCACTAATTGCAAGTTCTACAATGACCAGCTCCTTTCAATGAATTTTACAAGCAAAGTCGAGGTGAAGTGCATCGACATATGCACAGACAACTTAAAGGCTCATGGAATCTATTCCAGTCATTGCATTTGCAAATTTATGTTTGGAAACACTAATTGAACTCATGAAGTGATTCATTCAGCTGTTGTCTCAAGAAATCAAGTTTGGCCATGACATTGTGTTTTCTTTCTAGCACTTTGAATTGCATTAGAAAGAGCTTCATTAGAGAAGCAAGATCTACTACTTGTTGTTGTGTCATACCGAGCAATGACAAGAATAATTTGATGCTTTCCACAGGTCTTTGTTAGGATCTTGGGAGAATTTATGCAAAATTGCCACTGTGTGAGCATCAAGGACACTCTTCCCACTAGAGCTACCATTGCTTTTGGTTTCTGTTGGCTGGATGAAAAAGCACAAAACTTTTGAAACTGTTCCTTCAAAGTTTGGACCTTAAACCAAGTTCTGGATGCCAATCTAAGATCACACCATCCCCCTCAACATCCAGGCAGCTCATGGAAATCCCAGATGCATGCAAAACTAACTAGTGCTGATTTGATGTTGAATCAATCTGGAGTCTAGCCAAGAAACCATCACAAGCAATGGATCTAGCCTCTAGGATTCCGAATTTTCCTTCCCTCAGAGTGTGGTCCCGAATGTAGTAGAAAAGTTGGATTGTCAAATGGAAGATCTACTATGATCTTGTCTTGAACGTGGAAGATGCCCCTTTTTTCTTCCACAAAAGGGGTATAAAGATGATACCCTAATTTTCTATAAATTACTTCGTGGTCGCCCCAATGTTGTTAGTGCTATGGCTGCTGCAGGCTGCTGGATCATGCTCGTTTGCTGATCTAACGAATGACTGATAGCTCGTTGCAGCAGAAACACACACACACACACACACACAGAGTCATCATATTAACCACCAGTTTTCTTAGTTTTTTTGGATCTATTTGTGAGAGTTTGGAATCTAAGTCATGAGTTAGTCCGAGTTTGCTAGTCTGCAAGAAAATAGAAAATGAAACAAAAGACCAAGCCATGCAATCCAAAAATTCATATGGATTGTAAAAAGGACAAACAAAAGCACTTAAATTGGCTATCTTACAAGAAACCAGCACTAAAGAAGAATCATGTACAAATCAAAAGAAGATATCCAAGAACACCATAGCAAAACAAAGAAGAAAAAGAAGCTAAAAAACAAGTTATATCCAAGAAAATGGCAAATTAATAAAGAAGAAGAAGCTATGGAAAAACAAAATAAAGAAGAAGTAAACACAATGACAAAACAATGAATCTGGTGGATGTAGAAGTGTCTTGGTTGATTGTAGAGCAAACCATAATCAACTAAGAAGAAACTGAATCGTTCTATTGAATTGATGAGATGTTTGTGATACTGAAATTTTGAGAAACATGCCCGGAATGACCAAATTCTTACGTCCAAACACTTCTAAGAAAGGAAAGCGTGGAAAATCCCCTGCCGCGCGCTGCCCACGCCCCGCTGGCAGACGTTCGTTGTCATGTAACCGTTATTGTTTGAAAGCCAAGCACATCGATCCTGAGCGCTCTGCGAGCGTTTCTTGGCGCTTTCTTGATCCGGTAGGCTTCGATTCTTTCCGAGGACTGATAACGCCAGGTGCGGCCGAGAGTGCCAAGCCAGCGCCTTCCAATCCGAAATCCAAGTCCATCGGTTCCTACAGCCTCAGGCACGATTCTTTGGGGCCTGCTAAGAGCGATGCGTCCTCTTGCACCAGCGTCTTTTGAAAGAGACCCGAATCCACGCCTGACACTTAAACACGGATATACCCTCTACGCGAGCAACATTTCAGGTAAGAGGACACGCAGCTCAAGAGGAAGGATTATACCACTTGATTTGCTTTCGTCACAGAGATTGTCTTTGGCGGCGATGAAAGCCTGTTGGATGAATGAAGGACGAAGAATGCATAGCTTGCGTTGGAACATGGAGACCGTGATCAAAAGGCTAGAAGCCTTGCAAAGTTCACGACGACTGACCAAACAAGCTCGCTTGCATGGCCAATGCTTACGGTGACAATATGGAAACTCCCATTTGCTCGGCAGCTCTGAAGGACTGGAGTGATATATCGTTAGTGTGTCAATCAAATATTAAAAAATGATGAAAAATAAGTCTCACTACATTGTAGTTCACTCGTTCCCTCTTGTGTCTTTGTCCTTCACGCTCGCAAAAAACGTTTCTATCACCGTGTCGTTTCCAGTAGACAATAGGATTTAACAAATAGAAATAGAAATAGAGTTAATAGTCTGTGTACAGCATATTTACAAATTATATGTCAGAGAATCCAGTTTTCTTGAGCGGGATTCCAGCCACAGGCTCGGACTCAATACCACATTCATTGGAACCACGAGAGATTTGGAAAAATCCGTCCTGCGAACACACACGCTCTTGGTTAGAAACTTGAAGCTTCGGTGCTATGATCAATGACTAACCTCTCCCCATGACCGGTTCCACGAGTTTGCCACAATCTAGATCAGAAAACACAATACGCTAGTTCAAGAATGCATCAAAAGCCACATACTGCTTACCCAGTAATCCTTTCCATCATCGGTGGTGCCCCAGCCAATAAATTTCACTGCATGCCCACCCAGGACTTCACCGAAAACGTGCTTATAAACTCCAGACTTGTAGTGAGCAAAGTCCTGCATCGACAATTAACACCGATAAGTCGAAAAAAAGGCTCTAGCGCTCATAAACTTTTACCTCATATACGGTATAGGAAACTTCCACGGGCCCATTCTTGTAAATCTCGGCTTGGATGTCGTAAATATCGGAGTTGACAGCGTAAGTTTGCACCGTGAAGTGTTTAGAGTCCCTCCACTGCTCATTGTCCACGCATTGCTTCACGCAAACCGGCGTGTCATACTCAGGTTCGCAACCAGGATGCTTGCATCCTTTTCCATCAAAGTATGGATCGCACTGAAAGTATCAAGCTGTAAAACTAGAGTTTATGAAACTTGGGAGCTCCTTACTTGAGACGTCACCACCCCTGTTTGTGCAAAGTATTCCCAAGCCGCATATGGATATCCACCGTCACAGCCAAATCCACAGGAGCTGCAGCAGGCCACAAGGTCGTTCTCGGAGAGCGAGACATTCTGAGAAAAGCGAAGCATCTGTGTCACAATGCACACGAACGAGAAAGAAAAGATTCTCCACTCACTTCATTGTTGAGGATGCAAAATCGATCTGTCAGTGCCTCGACAGCTCCAAAAGCCCAGCATGACCCACAGTGACCCTGGAGAAAGATTGAGCGATCATAAGCAGCCACACAGCAGTACAAGTAGAGCACACCTGGTCAAGAATATTTTTGATGGAAGAACACTGTGGCCAAGCTTCACGGGCATCGAAATGCTTAGGAAGATCCAAAGTTCTCGGGTGGCTTCGCAAGGGTCTCAACGGCTGGACTTCCTCTGATGACTTTGGAAGAACACCGCAAAGCCTCTTGAAATCTCGCACCTGAAAAGAAAGAACAACGCAACTCTTGTCAGTCACTTCTCTTGCCTGGAATTTATAGCGAAACTCACCGTGTGATTGATGAACCGCTCGTTGAATCCCGCTTTCCACCCGGCATTGGGGTCATTGTTCACGATATCAACGATAGATTTCTAAAATTTCAGAAGAGCTTAGCAAAGAAGCAAAATCTAGCTCAATACCTGCAAGAGCGGCCTCCCTAGATCGAGCTTCCCAGATTCCGCGACCCTGACGCCCTGCCATCGCAAAAACCACACCGCATTCTCAAATGCGCAATGGAAAAACCCTGCCAATCAATCACCTGCGCCACCGCCGAGAACAGGAGAGCGATCGCGGCCGCCGCTAGCACGAGGGACGATTCCATGGCGCAATAGAAAACCTAGAAACAAACTCCTCAATCAAAGCAACACCGTGCTTGCGTGTTTGCGTGAGCTTTCCCCCAAAAATAAATATCTACAAAGGGGCAACAGCGACAAATAGGTAAAAAACGTCTCTACTGCTTCCTACTACGCTCCGCGACCAATCTCCTCGAGCCACGTCACCACCTCCTCGATCCCGGGCCGCCTCGCCGGATTAGGGTTTAGACACTGGCACGCCACCTCTAGCATTCTCTCCATCTCCTCCTCGTTCCCCCGCTCTCTTAGCGCCGGATCCAAAACCTCCACTCCACGCCCCGCCCCTTTCATCTCCCTCACCCACGCCACAAGATCATACACTCCATTCGCCCTACACACATCCACAGGCCTCCGCCGCGACAGTAGCTCGAGCAGCACCACGCCAAAGCTATACACGTCGCCCTTCGGGGACGCCATCCAGCTCTGCGCATATTCCGGCGGGATATACCCCAGCGTCCCGACCATCTCCGTGCTGACGTGGGTGGCCGTCGGCAGCATCAGCCTGGCCAAACCAAAGTCCGCCACGTGGGCAACGAATCGGCCGTCCAGGAGGATGTTGCTGGACTTGATGTCGCGGTGGACTATGTGTGGCTGGCAGCCCAGGTGGAGGTACGCCAATCCCCGCGCGGCCCCCCTGGCAATGTCCAGTCGCGTGGACCAATCCAGGCGCTTCGCGCTCTCGTGTAGCCAGCTGTCCAGGCTACCATTCTCCATGTAGGAGTAGATGAGTAGCCGGTGCTCGCCATAGCTGGAGTAGCCTTGGAGCGTTACCAGGTTGGGGTGGTCCGCCATAGCCAGAGCTTGGACCTCTGCCTCGAACTCGCGCTCCACTTGGAGGCAGTCGCCCGTGAGGCGCTTGATCGCCACCTTGGTGCCGTCGGGGAGGCTGGCCACGAACACCAGCCCGAATCCGCCGCAGCCCACGATGTTGGATTGATCGAAGTTGTCCGTCGCCTTGACGAGATCCGCGTTGGTGAGCGGGCGCTGCTGCTTGACCAGGGTCCGGAGGAGCTCCCGGTTGTGGAACACCTCCACCGTGCGCTTCATCATCTCGGACAGGTCCTGGAGCTCCGCGGCGGAGCCTTCCTCCTCGTCGTCTCGGTGGTGGACGGCCTGCTTGGGCGACACCATCCAGATCCAAATCCCGATGGCGATGCCGGTGATCCCAAGTGCCACGCTGACGCCGATCCCGATTGCCAAGCTCGAGGAGTTCTTGCTTCTCTCGTTCTTGGTGGTGCTACGTTGTTGTGACTGTGGAGAGCTTCCATCACCGCAGCTATCCGGCAGTGGATATCCGCAGAGTCTTGGGTTTCCAGCGTAGGCCGAGGCCGTGAAAGTCGAGAACTGGTTGCCCAGCGGGATCGGGCCTTCGAGCTTGTTGAACGAGAGGTTGAGCCTGGCCAGCGAAAAGAGTCTCGTCAGCGTCGTGGGAATTGCTCCACCCAGCGAGTTCTGCGAGAGATCCATCGACTCCAAGTTGCTCAAGTTCCCCAGGCTTGCCGGGATCACTCCCGAGAGTAAGTTGATGCCCAGGTCCAACGACACCAATCTTCTCAGAGCGCCGTAGCCGTCGGGAATCCGTCCGTGGAACCGGTTGCTGGCGAGGATGATGGAGGGAGGCAGCGCAGACACTTGATTGTACTGCAGCCGAGTCATGTTGTTCTTGTGCTTGACGAAGAGGATGCTCTCGACGGCCTTGATGCCCGAGGTGTCGATCTCGTCGCCTCGGAGCGATTTCAAGTTGGCAAGCTCTTCCGGGAGCGCACCCGAGAAGGAATTGTTGGACAAGTCCACGTAAAAGAGATGGTAGAAGTCCCCGATCCAGAGTGGAACCTTTCCAGTGAAAATGTTCCACGACAGGTCCAGGACTTGGAGCTTGGTCGAGTTCGTCAGCCACAGAGGAATGGTGCCGGAGAGGTTCGAGTTCCCGACCGCGAGCAGCTGGAGGTTCCTGAAGCTCCCCACTGGCGATGGCGCCATGTTGAGAGTTCCTGAGAAATAGTTCTTCGAGAGGACCAGAGCCACCAAGCTCGAACACTCACGCAGAGACTCGAGAGGAATCCTCCCGACCAAATTGTTCTTGGAGAGCATCAGTGTCGTGAGGTTCCTGAGAGATCCCAGCTGAGATGGTATCCGGCCCTCGAGGAAGTTCCCAGTCAATGCAAGCGTCTCGAGACGGTGGCACTCGCCGATCGCTGCCGGGATGGTTCCATTCAGTAAGTTGTAGGAGAGGTCCAGATACGCGAGCGATGAATTCGTGCTGGAGCAATTCACCGCGATCTGCCCTGAAAGCCTGTTCTCCCGAGCCGAGAAAACTCGCAGCGACGTAAACCCCGTCGTCAAGAACACTCCACCTTTGATAGAGTTTTTGTTGAGCCATAGCTCCTCGAGGTTGGCGAGAGAGCTCAGCTCGCTTGGAATGCTGCCGCTGAGCGAGTTAAACGAGAGCCTGATGGATCGTAGCAGTGGCAGCTGCGACAGGGACGATGGAATTCTCCCTTGGAGGCGATTATCTTCCCCTTCGAAAGTTTCCAGGCCGCGGCATTTGGTGATACTGGCAGGAATTCTACCCGAGATGTCGTTGCCCGAGAAACTCAGCACGCGTAGCTGGGAGCTACCGTCATCCTCGCACAAGCTCTCGAAGATTTGGCCAGAGAGAGCGTTGTTGCTGAGATCGAGCACCTGGAGCTTGATCCCTCCGGAGAAATTCCAGGAGCCGTCGAAGCGATTCGAGGAGAGGTTGAGATAGCTAGCCGCCTGGAACGAACCTGGAGGAAGGAGGATCGGTCCCGAGAGATTGTTGGCGCTCAAGTCGAGCCGCTCGAGCCTGGGAAGCGATGAAACGTTGCCTGGGAAGGAGCCGGAGAGAGCATTGCTGGAGAGATCGAGATGGCTGAGGCCGCGCAATCTCGCTAGGCTGTCGATAATATTTCCGCCCCGGAGCTTCAATCCGGAGAGGCGGATTTCCTGGACGCGGTAATCGATGCCGGCCTCCCGGTAGGCTTGATCGATCGACGCCGCGCATCTGACACCTCGCCACTGGCAGCAGCTCGAATTCCTAGACCATGACGACAGCTCCAGCGAGCTCGCCCCTCGTTGGAAAGCTTCCAGCGCTTCAATCTCTGTCACAGAGCACGAATCCTGGCCTGCCGATGGATCTAGCGCCCGGAATATCGCGAAGAAGAAGACCAGGAGCGTTCTTGCCTGGCGCCGCGGCTCCATTAATTCCCTGGCGCTGCTGTGCTGCCCCTGGATCGTCGGCTTTCATAGATTACCCAAGAAATTTCTCCCGATCGCCAGAGCAAAGATTGTGGCGGCCGTCATCCACCACCGCCTTGAATGCTACCGATCGAATGCGTGCGTTTCGTAATGTGGGTATATGAGCGTCTGTTCTTCCGTGCTTCTGGCTATGGCCGCCTAAAAAACCCATGGGGTGGACTTTATCTCAGCCGTCCAATCCCACAGCGTAGACGTTGCCACGTGGCTGGATTGCGTCCGTTGGGAACCTTTTTCACCTTTCTTTTCTGACAAGAAACGGTTAGTTAGCGCGTAGGGGCGTTACGGAATCGCGAATCCGTCCCGTCCAAAAACCAATCGCATCATCTCCCCGGTAAGAATGCGATAGAAAATTTGGTGAAATTTTTCTTTAGCCAACCGAGATTTCACCCAGTGTTGACAAGAGGGATCGGGTCAAAGATTATGGAAAAAGTGTGTTGTTCCACGTTCTAATCGTTGACTACAAGGGATGATGATCTAGCCTACCATTGCTTGTAATGAAAGAGAAGATTAGATCGAAAAGATGGCGTGGCACTTGGTATTCTTTGTGTGGGCATTTGTGCTTTTGGAGTTAAAAGTGGATCACCACTTATATTCCATTCACTCGCCACTCCACCACTAGCTCTAGTGTTTGTGTCCACGAATCACATACGCTACAGTGAAAGGAATGGCTTTCTTAAAGGAGAGATTTCGCCAAAACATGCGTTGCGTGTACGAAGTGTGAGAGAGTGACTTTGTAAATCTTAGAAAATTTTTGCTTGCGTTTCGCTGGAAGTCAAAAGCTACACAAAGCATGAATGCCCGGGACGAACCAAAGTGGCCGTGCTACGCAGCTAACAAAACAAAAGAAAAGGAAAAAAAAAAAAAAACAAAGAAACGAGAGCGATTCTATCGCTATCAAAAGTCAGAGCTTACTTTGAGATAGATAAGAGCGATTTATAAGATTAAAATGTCAAACCTCTCTCGGCGGAGTTCTTGTGTTCGTCGGCGTCAGCAGAAGCACAGAGTCCTGGAAGCGAGCATTGGAGCCGAGGAGGCGGAGGAGAGCTTGGCAGTGATGGTCACGTCGGGCTTGTCGTCCGGCGAGAGTGTTGCCAGTGGCGATGGCGACGATGACTCGGGCGGCCCCCGAGGATAAGCGCTTGGAAGATTGCCTGTTCGTGCCAGAAGCCTTGCCACGGCATTGGAAGGCTGAGCTCCAACCGAGAGCCAGTACCTGAAGAAAAAAGAATGTCAAGTGGAAGATGGACTGATTCAAATGCGAAGCTGTAACTTAGAACGCTAGCTTTTCGGGGAAATTGACAGACATAGCTAAACAACAGGATCGAACAATACTAAACAAGGAATGACAGCAAACAAGCAAGTTTGTGGACCGATTCCAGGGCTGGAAACTTTGTCGGAGCGGGAAGTTCTCTCAGGGGGACTGACAAACATAATAACAAAAACTAAAACTTAAAGAACGAGATCAAAAGAATGAAACAGTCATGGAAACGCTCCATTCACAGGAAGAATTCGGGCTAGAATTCTGGCAGACAATGCTAAAGAGCGACAGAAGCTATGACGAATATGAAAGGCATAGTTCAAAATGATGAAACGATGACCAAGAGGAAACCAAGTTCAAACAAGAACCAAAGAGAATTGAAAAAGGATGTCACTAAAACACTCAAAGATGATCCAAGGAGAAAGGGACCGATACTATCAAAGAAGAAAACGCGAAGACTTACTGGACTCGGTCCGCTTTGAGCGCAAATTGCTTCTCACCATCCTTTCCTGCAAGCATCGAAGCGACAACAAAGAAGAACTTGAGACCAAATTTTCTTTCTCGCCGAATGGAACTTTACCAGTAATGGGATTGTAGTAGCCCACATTCTCCAGAAATCTCCCGTCACGCTTGGAGCGGCTATCGGCAACGTAGATTCGATAGAACGGCAGCTTCTTCCTCCCAAAACGCGCAAATCTAATACGGACACCCATCGCTGCACAGCACAGTGCTCCAATTCAATCGAGGCAACGACGCTTCTTGCTAAAATGCTGCTCCAATCCAATCGATAATCCAATCCAGCTCGAGAAATGCAAGAAATCGCCGCAAACTCACCGATCGATCGCCCCTAGGTGGAGGAAGAGAAATACCAACCAGAGCTCTGGCACAGGAGATAGGGCTTGGGGTTTGGGTGGTCTGGAATAGATACATTCCGTCGATTCCGATACAGAAGGCCTCTTCCATCGAACGGTCAAGGGGTCTAACATCTAACGGCTAAGATGGCCGGAAGTTTTCCAGGTCCCTGAAAGCCGAGGCACACTTCTCCTCCAGCGCGGACAAATCCTTTTCTTCCGCCGACGTTAGATTCATCCTTTGCATCAAAGCTTCCAGGTTTGCTTCGGTCATCGAGGTGGTGACACTTCCTGGCTGCCAGAAGTCACGAAATCGTCGCTATCGATCTTCCAACATTTTGAAAAGTGCGAAGAGAGCTCTACCTGTGTTGCATGATCTTGTTTGGGATGGATCGGTTCAGTGCTAGCGCTTTCCACTGTCGACTGAGATCAAAGAAACCAAGTCACGCTCTCTCACACGAGAAAATCCAAAACTTCGAAAGCACTACCTTTGTAGAAACGTCACAGGTGAGTGCTCTCCTTGCCAGTCTAGCGGCTTTCACCTGGATTCACACAGTTTGAATCTATGGTAGAGAAGTTTTCGAGTTCTCACCTTTTCAATATCGTCTGCCAGGGAATCGAGCTGGGCAGTGAGTAGCTTCACTTGTTCTTGCAGCGATGGCACCACTGTGCGGGCGTCTCGCAGCTCTTTCTCCTGCTTCTGGCACACGTCGCGAAGCTGGACCACTTCCCTCAGCGTCGGCGGGAACATCCCTTTGAGGGCCTTTAGTTCTTCGGCCTGGTTGACGCAAAGCTTGCCGAGCATTTTTCCCACGTTGCGGACGCTCTCAATCTGGATTCGTGAAAAAACACAGCAGTGAGATGGCGCGGGATTTTGAGACTGTACCTCAGATTCCTTGCTGACACACTGCTGCTGGAGAAGTTCGAGTTTTTCCTCGTACGCTTTGCTTTTCTCCAGGAGCTCCTCCTCGCTTCGAATCACCATGGACAGCCTTCTGAACTCCCTGTCCTTGGAAATACTGCGCCTTTGGACCTGGTTCTTCGGCTTCACGATGGACTTGCCCGCCACCTTGTCCAAAATTTTCTTTCTCAGCGTCGACAGCTTGGATGGAGGGGATCGGCTCCATTGCAAAGGAGTGATCGCGTCGTCCCTCGGTTTCTTCTTCGGGTGAGCCTGGACTTTCGTCTTTAGAATGCATTCTGCCACTGGAGTGGTGCCTTTCGAAAGGGATTTCCCACCGCAGCGAAGTGCTGTAGTGATCGGCGCAATGGCTTTGCCTGGCAACGACGAATTCCTCTTGAGCTGTGAGTCCTCGTATCGGGTTGCGGCTGTCCCAAAACCATGCGAATCCACGTCCACGGACAGCTTCCTGGGTGTTGAAAGCGAATGTTGCTCGGGTAGAGCCACACCACCAGGGACGTTGCTTATATCCGAAAGAACGCGGCGCGTCTTGGTGTCAGCCGTGGATTCGGGTTTCTTGAAGACGCTGGTGCAGGAGGACGCGTCGCTCTTGGCAGCCCCCAAAGAATCGTGCCCGCTGGAGGCGCTTCGAGTGAAGCTGTAGGAGCCGATGGAGTTGGATTTCGGATTGGAAGGCGCTGGCCTTGCGATCTTGGCACTCTGGGCCGCAGCTGGCGCCATGCTTGCAAGATTATCGCGGAATTTCGAGAGGCCAAGCGTAGAAAGGGAAATCGGCGAGGCACTAAGCAATCACGAATCCAGTCCTGGTTTCTCGGAAAGAATCTCGCTTACCCGGCGATCGATCAAGCAAGGCGCCAAGAAACGCTCGCAGAGCGCTCCATCACAATACCGCGCCCTAGCTTTCTCTGCCCGCCATAATTCTAGGGCATGGCTTTCATACGCGAGGCTGTTCCTCATTTTAGAAAGGCCCAACGTCACTATCAGAACGGTCATAAACGACACGTGGCACACTAAGAGCCTGCCACGTATGCATTAGAATTTTCAAGGCATCTTATGGGGTTTAGGGCTAGGGTTTATCATCGCCATGGCTGCATTGGCGCGGGCGCTGGGGCGCGGGCGATCGGGAGGTATGATGCGAGCCATAGCGCGCGGGAGAGGATTTTCCAGCGCTCAATCTTCCCCATCGGAGCCGGAATCGTCACCAGGGACTGGATCGAGCAAGAACATTGGAAGCTCTCGATTGTGGAAATGGATGAAAAATCTCCTGGAATGCCCGGAAACAGATGTCGAGACACTTGCAAAGAGGAAGATCCTCAATGTCCGTAAAGGTGAAACTTTGTCGAAGATCAGGTTCGTGGATTTGAACGAGTGCCTGGAGATGGTGGACTCGGCCAAGGACGAAGAGAAGAGCTTCCAGGACTTCTTTTGTTTGGGGAAGCTCTACACCATTCAAGGATCTGCGGACAAGGTCTTGCTTTGCGCTGAAAAGGCCGCAAAGCTCGTGCCGCAAGGCTCGGTCTTCCATGCTTTATGCTTACACCTAGAGGCGGACGGATTTTTTCTTAACAAGGACTACGCAAAGTGTATGCAAAAGCTCAAGCTGGTGCTGGAGCTCCTTGACAAGGACGAGGACGAGACTACTGAACTTATACGGGCAGAGACGGAGATTCGGGTGGCCGAAGTTCTGGTTGCTACTCGGAAGTTCCAGGAGGCTCTGCCGCTGTTTCTCTCAAGCATCGCGAAGAAGGAGAAGCTTTGCGATGATAAGCGGGCATTTGTGGACGACTACATCCACACTGCCGAGGCCCTGGTAGAGCTCGGTCGATATCCAGAGGCTGCCGAGCAGTGCAGGAAAGCGCTGGATTCTGCTGAAGACGGAACTTTCGATGAGGCCAGGTCTCGAAGGCTGCTCGGAGTCGTGTACAGAGGCTTGAAGCAGCTTCCAAAGTCTATCGAGGAGCTCAAGGTGGTGAAAGAGCTTGCCCTGAAGCATGGGAGGAACGAGGATGCGAGGTGGATTGAGCTGGAGCTTGCGCAGTGTTACATGGACTCGGAGAAGTACGAGGAAGCAAAAGAGGTTCTTAATGCAGTCCTGGACGATGAGGAAGTTCGTGGCCGCCTGAAGGGATTTGCTCACGCCTGCTTCGCGAGAATCTGCGTGCTGGAAAACGAGGCGGACGAGGCAATTGCACACACCGAAGAGGCATCTATGATCTTGCGAAAGAACAAGGGCGTCACTCTGAAAGATGCTGAGACGTTTGCTGAACTCGCAACGTTTTTTGAGGCGGTGAAGGACTATGACAGTGCCATCGATCACTTTGAGGAAGCTCAAAGGATTTACGTGAACTTCCCAGAAGCAGTAACTTCTTTGGCAGAAACGTATGCCCGGGTTGGACACATCTACTTGGTCATGGAGAAGAGTGAGACTGCCGTGTCGATTCTTGGGCGCGGTGTGAAGCTGATTGAAGACAAAGTTGGCATAGATCATCCTGATCTCGGCGACATGCTGAACACAATGGGGGTTGCCAACTTGGGTCTTAAGAACTTGGTATTGGCTTCGGGGCAGTTTGAGCGAGCGAAGGTGATTTCCGTGAAGCATTTCGGCACTGGCCATCCAAACACAGTGGCCGCAACCATTAACATGGTCACTGCGTACTCCTCGCTCAACAGGTAAAACTTTGTCTTATTTTTGTCTTTCTCTAGCTTGAAACTTGCTCTTTGCTTATTATCAGGTGGGACAAGGCGATAAAATGCCAGACTGAGGTGGTGAAGCATCTCGAAGAACAGAAAGCACAGCCGGAGGTGGTAGAGAAGCACAGAGATACGCTGCAGAAACTGCAGCTAATCCAGGAAAACGCTGCGACGGTGGCTCACTCCGCGGGCATAAGTTGATACGTTTTAGATGCTCGTAAAAACAAGAAGAAGGATGTGCACAAACCCGACGAAACAGGTTTGGAAGCAGTTTTTAAACAATCGCCGTCTATGCATCAGGGTTGATTCAGATGGACTCTGTTTTTAAGAAGGTTGATCATCTTTTGCTGCTCGTGTTGCAAACGGCTGACATTTTCATCCACAGTTCTTTCCTAGCTCGAGCTACTGTTTTGCAGGGACACACTCACACTGGAAAGAGAAGATCTAACGCGAAGATCAGGATCAATGAGGTACGCGAGATCAATGTCCAGTTTTTCTTCCTTTCTTCTCGAGATGAGATTCAGTGGCCTTTTTGGCAGACTGCATGAAGAAACCACGACTCGCGGGACCATATGAACTTCGGGACAAGAAAAAAAAGATCGTTGCATCTTGCATCTTTTTTATGAGGTATTGAACTTACATGGTCTACTAGTGACTTATTTTCATCATCTTTTAATTTTTGGTGGACACACTAATGATTATCACTAGTGACTTATTTCCATCATCTTTTAATTTTGGATGGACACACTAATGATTATCACTCCATTCCTTCAGTCGGAGGCGGATTCTGGAGCCGGCGCAGCCTTTGGTGGATGTGGACGGCGACCACCAGTCTTCGAGCAAATGTGAGTTTCCATAGCCGGATCGTCGCCACAAGCACCGTCCATGCAAGCGAGCTTGCCTGGGCAGTCGTCGTGAACCTTGCAAGGCTTGGAGCAGCCTTTCGGAAACTGGCTAGGCCCGCAGATTTGCGTTTCCATGTCGGGGTCATCTCCACACGTTTGCCCAACGCAGGCTAACTTTCCCTTGCATTCTTCGTCCTTTGTGCAGGATTGTCCACAGCCTTTCATCGCCGCCAAAGTCATCTCTGTGAAAATCACAAAAGCAAAGAGGATGATCAAGTGCTTGTAAGTGGCAGTCATGATTCTTTCTTTCGTTACTAATGCTTCTATCTATCTTTCTCTCGACTAGAGCTCTATGGCTTGCTACTTGCTTGGCTATGGAAATGGATGATGATATTTATATGAAGTAAAAGGACAAGGCAACGTTGTTCAATGATTGTTTTTTGTCAATGTGGGCTCGCCAAAGATTCTAATGTGAGGCAAAGCGTCAAGAGTTAATGAGAATTCCCTACTCGGCGGATGCGCAACACGTGTCACGCATCCGTGTCCTTGTCAACCGTCTTTTGGATCTTCTCTGACGGACGAGGGCAACGAGAAATCTTCCTGGTGGCTTGCTAGCTCCACTTCTTCGTCATCGGGTTTCTAAAACAAAGGGAGGGATCATAGAAGTGAAAAAAAATGCGATTTTTACCAGTAATTCCAGGTTGTAGAATCCATTCAAGGTTTGGAGGATCTCTGCGGCACTAAAATGCCTGTTTAATCTGGTAAGAAGTAGAGAAAAAAAATTGGATCATAGCATCGAGAGTGGAGCGTTTGAAGATTTCATACCTCTTTTCTAGAAATTCCATGAGCCCATAGAGAATGAAGTGCCGGTGAATGCCTGGACAGACACACAGAGAAAACAGCGCTCTCAAGTTGGTGGAGGAATTCTCTCCTCGATCTAATCGCTATTACCTTGGAGCTTGGATGGATGATAAATCTCGAGCGCTTCGAGCAGCCTGAGCTCCAACTGAAGCTGCTGTAGCTCCTGGGAATGGATCGATCGATCAACACAAACTAAAGAATCCAATTGCTTGGGAGCAAAATCGATCGAGCAAAGGAAAAAAGAAATTTTGGCGAGCTGGGTCGCGAAGATTTGACCTTGTGTGGCGAGGATGCTGAGGAAGGTAGCGGTGGCGTGGCTGGAGTGTGCGCGGAGAGCTCCGGAGCGCCACCATCGTCGCCGGAGCCCGTGTGTTGCTTGGCGTCGGCCATTCCCCTTCGGAGAGAGGAAAAAAAATGGAGGAAGATGAGTATTTTTATTTTCATTATGTTTGCCGTAGTAGCCTCGTCATCACAGCAATTGGTCCTATGGTCTAGTGGTTAGGACACTGGACTCTGAATCCAGTAGCCCGAGTTCAAGTCTCGGTAGGACCTATTTCTTTGTTATCACTTCCCCTTTTTTTTATTTGCGCTCTCTTCGCGATGGCGCTCTCTCTCTCTCTCTCTCGGATCCTCGATCGGTGATGGAAGCTGCTCAGATCGCGGATTATCGTTTGGTGCTCGCTGGTATTGCGTTGGAATCCAGTCCTTTGTTCTAGGGCAGGGGCGGTTGCGGATTCCTCCAAGATCGTCGTCTCTGTGAATGAGCAGTGGAAATGCACGGGGAAATGTGAGTGATCTAGTTGTTTTCGCGATCCAGGTTGAGGAATTTGGTGTTCTTGCAGGCTCTTGGGGAGAGGGTTTGCGGCTGGGGGGCATTTGGCAGCCATGGGAAGGCTTCTGCAGAGTGGAAGTAATTTGGATCCTTCACCAGGTACGAATTATCTTTACCATTGCTCTATTCTCTCCTAGTTTTCTTCATTCCTTGGTTTTTTCTAGCGTAGAAATTATCTTAGCTAGGAACATACGCTTTCTCTGCCTTTTCCAGCACAAGAGATTGCTCGAGAGAGAGTGGCAATGCTTACTATCTACAAAGAGATGAGTGAGGCTGATAATTTTTTGGAAGAAGCAGGTCCATCTAATCCTTTTGGTTTGCCGATGCATACTTCTCCTTGTAGACGTGCACGTCTTTGGTCACTTGTGCCTTGTATGTAGAAAAACTTTCTTGTTTTTTCTTGCGTGGCTTTCTGAGTGTGAAGCGATACAGGTTTCGTGCAATGCGTGCAAATAGCCTGTTAAGGTTAGCCAGTATGCAGCTCATGCAGGTTAGTTTACCATTTCATGTGGTTTTTTCTCAGCTCCTTGTGTCCTGTTGTTGCAGAGCGCTGTAGATCATTGTTGGTGCCGGAGGACAGCGGAGTAGATGTAGAGAATGGTGGCAAGAGAACTATTCCAAGATCAAGTAACAGTTTTAGCTGCGTTCTTTCACGTCATACTTGCTGGTGTTTAGGAAACGGAATGCTAGGCGAAGACATGGACGATGCAGCTCCGCTCGACTCGGGGGTATCCATGTCCGATATGCAAATGGGAAGCTTTTCTACATTAAAAGCAGTAAAACGTAAGAGGTTTTGTGCATCCTGAGAAAACCATATCTGTGATTTTTTATATCCAGGAGCTGAAGTGGGAGGGACGGGTCCAAAGGTTGGGAGGCCACGAAAACTATCGGTGTACAATCCAAGAGGTCTAAGCTGCATAATTGAGCTGCTGAAACTTAATGCCGAGGTTCTTTGTAGAGATGAGCGACGGTAATCCTGGAGAAGATTGCTTGGTAGCGGGCCCAAGTGCTGTTTCACATTCCGAAGGTTTGTCTTCATCCGGAAAACGGCGAAAGCAGTAAGACTTCTATTTGTGTTCGTTCTTAGTTTTATTTAATCCTGTTTCGGTCTTAACTTTCAGGCATCTGCCGTTCACTGTCGATGACCTGGATATCATGTGTGGAGTACCGTCACCTCGATCTGGAGCTCCTTGCAGGCAACCATTGACATGTAAGTGTGTGTGCTTCGACGCTCTTGAAGAATGACAAGCCTTGGCTTTGCTGCATAGGTAAATCACATTCAATTTCAAGTAAACGAGCTGTTACTGGTCGGAGAAAACCTTTTGATGCGTTGCTTCAAGATTTTAAGGACAATAACTCGCGAAAGTCACAGCAAGGTCCGTCCTTCTCTGTCTGTTTTCCAAACTGCTCATATATGTTGCTTCCTCCTTGGCTCTAGCAGACATTCCAAGACCGTTGGCGACCAAAGTTTACTGTTCGGGTCACAGCCAACGGATGCGTGCAGTGATTACCAGTCTGTACCGAGAGTCCATCTCAGGACGGTCAAGTTTGCCACAAAACGAGCAAACTCTCGCTTTGGATGCTAACCCGCAGCAGCAGCAGCAGCAACACGCGCTTATGAGCCTAAACAAGGTGAGCTAGTGTTGGTGGATTTGGATAAAGACGGCTTTCTTTTTCTAATCACTGGCTACCTTTTTGTTCAGGGATTTCAATGACACAGGTTAGAACAACGGAAGGTGGTGATAAAGTAGAGGTGGTACTTTACGCAGCAGCACATTTGCCAGCATTTACTGCTCGCCGCCTGTCCGGGTATTCATTGCAGCGAAATCAACAGGCAGCGCACAGCGGCCCAATTCACGTTGCGCGATCAACTCTCCCGTTTGAAAATCCGGATTTTACTGGCGTTTAAGGCCGTTTGAGTAGCTATATTTCTGCGGGGCCGTCGCTACTTCCCTCTGGTGGTTACCAGTAGCAGTCTACATTTTCAAAGCGTTCATAGAAAGGGCCTGGTGCGCGACGCCAGCTTTCGTCTAGTTCTTCAAGGATGGGAGTACTGGGAGGCGATGCTCATGTTCCAATCGGGAGCCAAGTTAGTCCCGGGAGTGTAGTGGTGACGAACAACGAGAGCTTTGGACACAGGAAGCTGCTCAAAGGGGTGGATTTCCTGGTCCGGATCAAGGCCTTTGCCTTCTGCCTTGCTGTGATCGTGCTGCTCAAGAACAACGTCCAGACTACCGTCATCGCTCCTGGGATAGTTTTGCAAGCGAAATACAACAACACCAAAGCCCCAGTGTAAGTTCTTTGTTTTCTCTTTGTAGCTTATGGCCTTTTCGCTTTGCAGCTCACTGCTCGTCTTAGCATCCATTTGCTGTGGCTATGCTTTCCTCCAGGCAGTCGTATCGTTGCTATCGTTTATAAGAGACAAGAGGGTGCTTAACAACACGGTGCTCGCTTGGCTCACCTTTCTTCTGGACCAGGTGAGCTTCGTTTTGCTCGCTTCTTTCCTGTATAGTTTTTCAGTTTTTCCTGTTGCCTGTTTTCTTGCTTCTTTGTCTTCTATCCAAGACCAGGCGGCACTGATTCTTCGTGAACAGGTTTTAACATATTTGCTACTGGGGTCTGCCGCGGCCACGGCAGAGGCTGCGTACATCGCCAAGAGAGGCGAGGACAAAGTCCAGTGGAAGGCGGTGTGTGGGCCTTTCAAGAGATTTTGCGACCACTTCGCCGCCACCGTGTTCCTCTCCTTCATTGCCGTCATTGCCTTCGCCGTGTCGGCTGCTATCTCGGCCTACTATCTCTTCAGGAGGAGCAAAGGCTTCAAGTAAAGTAAGAACAACATCCCTTTGGAAGCTTCTGCTAAATCCTTTGTTTGCATTTCACAGTTTACAGCAGACTATGGAAGCAGCAGCAGTGTAGATTTTTTCTCTCTTTCTTTTCTCTTGTCCCTTTGACGAACTAGCTAAAGAAATGAAAGAAGATACAGTGTTCCATTCTATCATCCTGTTCTTGGTGTGTGGGAAGGCTTTTTGTCTTCTAACTTGGTCTTAGGTGATAGGCCGAGATGAATGCGTTGATAGCTAGGGGAATCACAGAAAAGAAGGAGAGCACGAGTGCTACTCCAACTTTGTTGCAAAATCCACTGAAAGCATTGCAAACTGCAAACCATCCCGAGCTCACTTGTCCATTCTTTGCAAGATAAGCCACCTCTGCCGATGCCGCGGCGGCCGAGAGCATGGCATAAGCCAAGAGCTGCCAAAACATTAAACAAAACCAGCGTTAGAAACTCTAATAGAGAACCAACAAAAGATCTTCAAGAAAAACTTCCAAAAGATCTAAGAACTTTAGAAGATAAACTCTTAAGCTAGAGTACCTGGTCAGCTAAGAACACCATCCAATCGAGAGCTTTCTTCCGTGCCAGAGGATTTCGATTTCCAGACAGCATGACGAGGAACACTGCTGCGTGTAGAAGCGAATAGCCGAGACAAATTCCACTCACGACTGCTAGAAATCTGTGAAAAAACAACCACCATTTACTTCGAAAATGAAGAAACAAGAGAAAGCCAACTTACATCAAAGCTTTCGAGTTGGACCATATGGCAACGATATCAATAGAGGCGATCTCCTTCCTCTCCTTGGAAGTGACGAGAAACGCAAGAGTTAGAGTGCACAGGACTGCAGTTGCGATACGGAGCAGCAAGCTGGTGGGGCTCGAAAAGCCTCGCAGAGTTTGCTGGATCGAAGCCTCTGGAGCTGCCCCGGCTTCATTTGCGACACTGCTTTGGCTCGCAACACCCATTGAGACGATGGAACAAGAAGAAAAAAGAGTTTTTCTGCGCTTATCTTTTGCTGCTCCGCGGGAGAAGAGCGACGAGCTTTCGAGCACTGCGCTTTATACGTCAACTCGTTTCAACTCTTTCGGGATCTTCGGTCGAGCGTGCACGAGAGATTTTGTACAGTTGCACGGATTTAGGGGGCGCCTGTTTTGGAAACTTCTCCCAAACTTCTGACTTCCTGGGATAAAAAATATGAGATACGCAAAATAAAAAAGAAAATAGAAAACCGACTTGATCAAAATGCTTATGACGTAACTTTCTATTTTCTAGTTCAACCATGTCAAACATGTCGGAATTTGGATGCTGTTATCTCGAAAAGGCATAACTAGCTAGGAGAGTGAGGGAATGCTTGCTTACCTTGGATGAAAAACCTTCTATAACCTGTTGCTTTGTTAACGCATCTGGAAAGAATTTTCAGGCAAACCTGGTGCTTTGTGTCAGATTGTACCTGTGGAAAATTGCTGCAAAGAACTGGCCAGGATCACGAGCTTAAAACCATTTCATCAGCGGACCAAACACGCAAAATGCTTCCTTTACTTAGGAAAATCTTACACCTAGATTAGAGTGCATCCCGAGCTGCAATGCGGGATGTCACGGCGTCGGTCAAGGAGGAGATTTCCAACTCCAGCGGTGGAACCTTGAAATGCTGCATGCATATAACAAAGAACAAGTCAGAAAGGAAAATGCTAGAGCTGTTTCTACCTTTTGGATGAGAGCCGTGTCTGCTCGCTTTGCCAGTTCCTCCAAGCTTATTTCTCGTCCTTGGATGAGCTTCCTCACTTCATTCTCCTGCGTGAGATAACGATCGTTGTATAAATCATAAAAGAGAGAGAGAGAGAGAGAGAGAGTCACCTTTTCAGCAGGACAGTCGAACTGAACAACTAGAACGTAGCTGGTACCGCTTGAAATTCCACACCTTCGCAGTGATTCCGTGATCTAGAAACAAAGAAGAAAGAAAAGGAGAAGAACTATAAACTAAGAAACTCTTGAAAGAACACCAGAACTTACGTGTTTCGATCCAGAAAAGTTGTAAACGAGCTCCGAGTGTAGAGTTCGCGTGACGAGATTACCTCGCGACTGCGACAAGAGCGTCCGGTGTGCCGACGCAAGCACTGGAAACAAATCCGGCACCTACAAGAGCAGCGAAAACGCAATGGAAGTTCTCTTGGAAAACAGAGAGAAATAATACCAGCGATGCATTGAAGAGCGCAACCTCGGGAGAGAGTGTCCCGGCTTGAAGCGAAGCCAGCAGCTCACTGGAAAGATTCCAATGGAAATAAAGAGCGAATCTAGCCAGAGCGCCTTACCCGCTGTTGCTCACGCCATCGAAGAGAAAGAAGCGCAGCGCCCGACCGCCGCCTAGCGGCACCTCCATTGCGATGAACCCTAAATCTCGTAAATTTCATACACTAAGCTTCCACATATATAATCCTTCACGTACTTTCGAAATGCAAGTTATCTCCAAAGTTCCTGTTTGTTTTAAGTTCTTTATTTCCAGCAAATTTTCCTCCTTTTTTTCTGGTTGAGTTCTTTTTAGAACTTATCCATTTTTCTGCCACATAATTCCAGTTATTCTAGAAAGCTATATTTTGGATGAAGGCATGGCACGATTTTAGCCATCTGGCCTTGTATAAAACCCCAAGAAGAATGCACCAAAGAAAATATCAAATCAATCCATACATTTTCTAATGGCAACGTCCATTGTCTTTTCTTTTGTTCTCTGCTGCTGCTTGCTGGCTCAAGTTACACTGGGCCTTCGGTTTCGTGCTCATCTCGTGCACTACGGTTCCACCACAGTCAATGGCAATTTCATCCCTGTTAGTGACACTGACTTGGCTCCCACGGTTGACATTGAAGGATTTCGTGGAAATGGTAGCGTTCGTCTCTTTTCCGTGGTGATGGCGGATCAAAAAGCACTGCCAAGCCCATTTGCCACTTATCCCTACATCAACTTCTTCACCAAAGGATTCCTCTATGGAACAAGCACGAAATCATACGTTGCACTGAATGGATTTGGGTAGTGGATGTTGTTGCTAGTGTTGGAAGGAGCCACATAAGGCTCTTTAGAATGCTTCCGTTCACAGGTCCTGCAATGGAATCCAGCCGAGATGAGCTTCACAATTTAAGATCATATAAAATATACTTAACCCGAGCTGCCTGCTGGTATGTTTGCAATCTAAGCCCATGGACAACCGCATTGTTCTTTCTCTGTCCAATATCATCCAGCAATACCATTGCAGAAGCCCTTTGGAGACGGTCTCATTCACAACTTCCCTCTACTAAATTTGGAATTAATTAGTAAACAGAATCAAAATAAGTAATTAAGATTATTCATTTGTGCTTTTTGGTTTCGAAATCTCGTGAATTATAATTCAGAAAATAGCTCTAGAAACTCGGATCCAACCCAAGAATTCTTTTTTTCTTTGATACTTTAAAATAAGTACAGGAATAGAACAAAAGCCCATTCAGGAAAATGACGTAGCACTTCCTTTTTTGTTCCTTCTCTCTATTAGTTGCTATCTTTGTGCTCGAGAATGCTTGCGAGAAACTTTCGCGGAGCCGAAGCAACCTGCTCTACCATATCAAACATCTCTCGAATGTCGGAGTTTGGATCCTGGAGAAAAAACCATCGCTAAGAACAGGATCTGGGGGAAAAAAAGAAAAACTTTTGTACCTTGAGGTTTCCAGACTTTGTGGGAATTCCTCTGATCGGAGCCAATCTGTTCCTCAGCGCGGACATTGTGTCGGTCAGGATCCTTTTCTCTTTCAATCGAAGCTGCGCTGCCACTCTTTGCTTGTACGAGAGGTTCTATAACATCAAAAGTCAGATATCGTTCCAAAGCAACGCAAGACATGGAGCACTAGAAAAAGAAGTAAGATTCTTACCTTTCGCCTGAGCGTCTGCATTTCGTCCTCCATGGTATCGCTGGAGCTCAAAAGCTTTGTACGGCAGTCGGCCATTAGCAGCATCAGCGTCTCGTACTCGTTTGTCTGCCAAAGTTTTATCAAAAGCTTCCAGCGCCAACGAAAGAAATAAAAAGACGAATCGTTTGTTACCTGACTAACGATTAGATCTTTCTCAAAGGTGATTTTGGCGAAGAGCCCCGAGTCTTGTATCCTTGCTAACCTTGTATATGTCAAGAGCTACAAAGTCCATGACCGTGAATACATTAAAAGCAAACAACAGTGGTGCTACCTGTGTTGGAAACCGATTAAGGTACAAGGGAAATTTTTGAGGAACAGTGAGGCCAACTTCTTGCAAGATTTCGCGCTTGAGTGGGGCTAGAGAATCGCCACTTACTAAACCAACCTGGAAGATGAGAAAAACTTTGCGCAAGTTCGCATAGAATGGTCGAAAGTACCTCTATCTCGATGCAATCGTTCTCGTCACTCTCGTCAAGAAAACCATACCTGACGAAAACTTTAGTTTCAAGCATGGTAAAAAACAGAGAAACAAGATCGAACACCTTATGAGAAAATCTGCGCTGGTCAAGTTTTGTGCATACGAGGCAAAAACTTGATCTCCTTTCTTGTACCTTTTGTCCACGGCCAGCTTCACCTGTTAAACAGAAAAACTATTCAAGCCAAAAGAGCGTACCGAGAGCTTTAACCTTTTGCTCCTCGATGTCGTAGTCTAGCAAAGATCGTGACGACTCGTGATTGATCAAATCTCCAAACGGAACCTGCAAAGTCTGGATCGTAAAAACGAAAGACAAGAAGAATTCACTTACCAGAGCAAATAGCTCTGCCGAAGGCAAGTACACTGCTCGTGATAAAACAACCGAGAATGCTGTCTTGAACGCACTAAAGGTAAATTTCTCCATGGGAAAATCCTGTAGAGCAAAAGAACAAGCAAAGTTTCACCAAAAGAGAAGCACAGAAAAAGACATACTTTGTTGTCTTTGAGAGTATCCTTCAACGCATCAAAGGTTTGCCGCAAAGATGTGAGCTGGTCCTTGACTTTTGCTGAGAAAAACACGGTTGAAAACACTGGATAGAAGAAAAAGGCTGTAAGACGTACCTAGAGCGGAAGAACCACGTAAGAGCTCCTCTTGTTCCTCTTGTTCCCATAACAAAAGACTCAAAGTCGAGGCTGGAAAAACTTTCACGTATGGATACCATGGCGAGTCTTGGGATCTTTCCTGCTCATACATAAGCCATAGTGCAAGCCCGACGAGTTCGTCTCTTCCTAACATTGCAAACACACTGTGAGGAGTCAGATCTTAAGTTTAAGAAAGAAGAAAGAGAAAAAACTAACCTTCGGCCGCACTCGAGATAACGGGATGGTTCGCAACATCTACAGCCGTGACGGTAAAGTTCTCGGGGATAGACAATGCAGCATCACCAGCCTACAGCAAAAAAACCAAGAAAAATGAGATTTTCTACGCAATTCTATCCGTATTTACCTGTAGATCACGAGTAGCGCAACACCCAAGTCCCTTGTCTTCGAAAGACGAAACGAGAAGTGGCTGCAAATCTCGATTCGTTCCAAAGAAACCAAAGAGTAAATTGGAGAACCTGTTGTGGAAATCCTTGTTCTTGTAGCCACTTTGTCATGTCTCTCGCGGCATCCAGGCGTTCCTCGTCCACGATAGACGCCCTGCATAGCCATACCGTCCTTGGTAGCAATCTTCTCGGCTTCGCTCCACATTTCCAAGCCACTCCACGAAAACCCACGAGGCTTGGAGGCGCAAGGAGCTCCATCGCCCACTAGAAGGAAGATATCAAACCCCTCGTCAGACCTTAACTTTAATTGTTATCTTTCCAGCAAAGATATTTCTTCTTTCATGGTAGCCATAGCTACTTAATGCTCGAGCTTGCATAGAGATCACTCATCAAAACGTAGTCGGCCGATTTAGTTTCTCTGGCACTGACCAGCGCTTGAAATGCAACCTCGCCAACCTTTACGTTCTTCCAGTTTCTACATGCCCCTAGCAAACTTCTCCACATACTACCACTCGCTTCCATTGGCATGGTTTGGATTAGAGTTAGCGCTTCTTCCAGCCGGTTTGCTCTTCCAAACATATCAACCAAGCAACTATAGTGCTCCACGCTCGTTTTAACCCCACACTTCACCATTGATTCGAAGCACAGAGCTCCTTGCTCGAGCAAACCGGCATGGCTACAAGTTGTGAGGATAGAAACCAATGTGATTCCATCCATTCCAATGCCAGCGTCTTTCATTTCTCTTGCCAGATGAAGGACCCGGAAAGGGTCTCCAGCCGAGCTATATCCTGCTATCAAAGTGTTCCAAAGCACTACATTTGGAGACTTTACACTGTCAAACAGTTCTTGAGCTTTAGAGATGCTGCCACACTTTGCATAGAAGTTCATCAAGCTAGCAGCAATTACATTATCTTCTTCTAGTCCAAGCTTGCAAGTTCTAGCATGGATATATTTCCCAGCTGCCAATCCAGCCATGGCTAGATTCCCACAAGCTTCCAGTGAGGCAGCATAAGTTAGAGGGTCTGGTTCACAGTTCATGGTAGCAAACAGTTCTAGAGCTATCAGACTCTGGCCATTCTTTGCATATCCAAGTATAAGAGAGGTCCAAGCCAGGACATCCCTCTGGATCATTTCATCAAAAACAAGCCTGGCAATTTCCATCTTTCCACACTTGGAATACACACTCACAAGTGAAGTTGCCACAACAGTGTTGGATTCTAGTCCACAGCGCTCAGCTTGTTTGTGAATAGTCACCACTTTGTCAAGGCATTCTTCTCTGCGAGAAAAGCCTTCACAAGCCTTGAGAGCAGCAGCAAAAGCATAGGGATCTGGCTCACAGTCCATTCTGGAAAAGAGCTCCAGAGCTTCCAAATTTCCTCCACTTTCTACATATCCCAAGATCATGGTGGTCCAAGTTACCACATCTCTCTTCCTCAAACCATCAAAGACCTCCCTCGCAAGTAGCATGTTCCCACAGCTTTTATACATGTCCAGCAAGGTGGTGAGGACAACCAAGTTAGAATCAAATCCAAGTTCGCTCACTTTCTTGTGTAGAGAAATCCCTTCTCTGAGATAAAAGTCTCTATTGAATTCCTCTGAAGCTAAACCTCCACAGGCTTTGAAAGCAGCAACATAAGTGAAAGAATCTCTTTCACAGTCCATTTTGGTGAACAGATCCATAGCTTTGGAGTAACTCCCATTCTCCACACATCCCAGAATCAGGCAATTCCAAGTAACAACATCCCTTTGAGTCATTCCGTAAAAAATCTTGGTAGCAAATTCCAAGCTCCCACACTTGCAATACATGTCCACCAAAGTGTTTGCCACAGCCATAGAAGAATCCATTCCACACTCTCTCACTCTTTGATGGATCAAAATCCCTCTTCTAAGCCAGAGTTGCTTGTTTGAGCGAGTTTCACCACTGCCCAAACAGCTGCACGCCTTAAGAGCTGCAATATACGTGACAAAAGTTGGTGCACAATCCATGCTATCAAATAACTCCATAGCCAGCAAACTTTTTCCATTTTCTATACATCCAAAGATCATGGAGTTCCAAGTCACAACATTCTTCCAAATCATCCCATGAAACACATCCCTCGCACGTTCCAAGCTTCCACACTTGCTGTAAAAATCTATCAGCGAAGTTGCCAAGGCCACATCCAAATTCTCCGATCCAAACTTCTCACTGGCCATCTTGTGAATCGCAATCCCTCTCTCGAGACAAATCCCTCTCTTTGATCCCTCCTCGCTGCAAGAAAAAAGAATGCTCAAGCAAGCCTTGATTGCAGCCATGAATGTCACAGCGCTCGGCTCACAATCCATGGCGGCAAAAACTTCCAACGCCCTCGAGCCCTCTCCATTCTCGGCATATCCTAAGATCATAGAGTTCCAGGCCACCACGTCCCTCTGGATCATCCCACCAAAAACTCCTCTCGCCAGATCCATTCTCCCACACTTCCCATACAAACCCACCAAGCTCGTCGCCACCACCAAATCACAGTCCAATCCCCGCGCTTTCACTCGATCGTGGATACCAATCCCTGTCTCGAGGGAGAGACGCAAATGCTGAGCCGCCAGGCAAGAACACGCCTTGATCGCCGCGACATACGCGTGAGAACTGGGCTCGCAATCCATCTCGCCAAAGAGCTCCATCGCCACTGAGCTCTCGCCATTCTCCACAAACCCCAAGATCAAAGAATTCCAAGCCACGACATCCCGCTCGCCGTGGATCATCCCATCGAAGATCTCCTTGGCGAGCGCCATGGACTGGCATTTGCCATACATTGTGATCAGGGCCGCGGCCACGAACCTGTTGGAGTGGAATCCAGCCAAGAGCGCTTGCCGATGCAGCGATTGCCCAGCTTCCAGGTCTTGCGACTTGCCGCAGCGCTTGATTGCCGCGACGAACTGGACCGCAGAGTGATTCTTGTGCCGTGGCGCGATGGCCTGTGCTGGACTGGATCTCTCCCCTGCCGAGGCCATTCCCTACATTAATTTACCTTTTGTATCAGCTGAACTGACCGTTGGTTAGCAATAATGAGAATATTCACTTAGATTCGAATATACATGATTGCACAATGGTATCTTTACCAAGACATGAAACTAACGACGAGAAGAAACAAAAAGATGATCAAGCCACGTCTAAGTTCTTAGTAGACGTGTGGATCTTCAAACTTAACAGCATTTATCTAGAGGTTACAGATCAAAGATCCATTTTGATCGTTTCTCCAAAGATATATGATCAACAGGGAATCGTTGGAATCAAGACATTGAAAGGGACACCTTGATTGAGCACTCGTCTCGTCGGCACAATAGAAACGGTCCCCTGCAAAGCTCCCCAACAAGTGACAAGGTCAGTTAGAACGATTCCATCGTTGTTGCCAAGTATATTTAAAGTTTGAGTGCCGTTGTCAACGAAGAACACGCTTTGGCTGGCCTGGCTTTTTAGAACAACAGCGGTCTAAGCTACCATCTAGAAATCTTTTATCTGCTGAGATAGCTCTCGACTTTGGTGTGCCAGTGCCAGATCCTTGGAAGCCAAGTCAAATTGCTGGTTGGATGCGATTATGTAGTGGTATGTCTGGTGCTTGATTCGGGTGTAAGTTTGGTGCTGCCAGTTTCCTGGATGATCTTCGTGGAGTTTTCTTGATCTCCAAGCGATTAAGTCGATCCAGCAAGCGAGAAGTCCGTAGAACAGATTTTGTTTTGGATCTTTTCTTTTGGATACGATCGAAGCTATGAGCGCAGCATCCAAGAGTGTGAGGAGGCGAGGCTTGAACCTGGGGAAAACCAACAGCCTCAAGCTCGCTAAATCGTCGCAAGCGGTGATTTTTTTCCAGAGGCCCCAGAGCGAGGATGCGAAGATATCGGACAAAAGCTATGGTGTGGAGCTCGTCTTGAGCCACCAAGCACTGGCCGACGCTCATTGCAAGCCGGGGGAGTTCGCGGAGGCCATCAAAGCTCTCAATCGTTGCCTGGCACTGGATGTGGGCGATTGCCAAGATCAAGTAGCTCCTGGATCCTCGATCTTGGGCGATGGTTTCTCGCTCATGGGCAGCGAGCAAGGGTCAATCACAGGCTACCACTTTGCTAAGCAGGCCCATCTCGATCGGGTCGTCGCCGAAACTTGCCGGTTCTTGGCGAGATCACACCTCCAGGTATGCTAAAAGAAAGACTCTTGTTTTGTGACAATTCTGCTGATCACAGGCAATGGAGCTTGAGAGAGCCGAGGAGGTGTCCAAGGAGCTCCTCAAAATCCACGAGAGGAGCAGCGATTTGTTCCTCAGAGAAGAGGAATTTAGCGATAGGAATCTCATGGCGCTCATCGCTAGCGCAAGGGGCGACCACAAATCCGCGCTAAGGGATCTCCAAAGGGCAGCGTCGATCATTGACCCTTCCCAGTCGCGCCTGGACTGGGCATCAATCCAGGCCTGCATTGGCGACACACTCGCGTCGCTGGGCCGGTTCAAGGACGCGGACATCGCTTACCACACGGCGCTGGAAATCTTCACGAGGATCGAGGGCGAGGGCCACGCTGCGGTGGGATCCGTCTACCTCAGTCTCGCGGATCTCCGCTTGAAGCTAGGGAATGTGGGCGCCGCGCGGATCTTCTGCGAGAGAGCGTCGCGAATTTACGACAGGACGAGCGAGCCGGCAGACGCGCTTGTTAGCGGCCTCGTCGAGGCTGCTGGCATCTACGAATCGTTAGGGGAGATCGATCACGCCGTGGCCCTGCTCCAGCGAGCTCTCCGGGCCGTGGAGGAGGAAGAGCATAACCTAACCCTAGATCCCACCGGTATGGAGGGGAATTGCTAGAATAGTTTAATAAGGTTTTGTCTTGCACAACTTGGATGTCCATTGGCTGGTTGTTAGTCGAAACTTATGTAGCAAAGGAGATAAGAAAAAGTGGCAGGTCGGGGCACGACAGTATGGTTGGGGGCCAACCTTATATGTGAGAGCTCACACATACTGGCCAAAAGTGTAAAGAATTTCATTTTGCATGACCCAAGTGAACATGAATTTCATTTAAACATGTTTATTTGAATCTAAAATAAAATCATTCAGATTCATCATGATCATAAATTTTGCCTCGCATGGCCTAGGTAGCCTGTGGCATTACAACTAAAAAATGGTGATATTTTCTTTTGTTTCTTTTTATTTGATGTTCAAAAATTTGTTTTGCCTCATTTCTTATCAATTTCAATTTTAATACTACAATTCCAAGTAGCTACAGATGATTTCAAGAGTTTAATTAACATTTTCAACTGTGATCATAAGCATTTTCTCTAAAATTCTCACATCCAAAACTACAACTTTTAACCTTTTTAAATTATCATTAAAAATCTCTAGAATATCACAAAAAGAAAATCAAACACTCAAGTTTGCTAGAGTTGTCACAGGACAATGGACAAGTTACAAGCCAGGCAAAAGAGCGAATGACATTTCTTGGTAGTGGGATAGTATAGAAGATTGCCAATTCCAAAACAATGTTCAGTCTTAAGTGAGCTAGGGTTGATGTGAATAGTATTTTCTACTCAAGAGGAGCTGCTATAAGCTTCATATCAACATTTCAAGGAGGGAGAGAGAATCATGAGCCCAAGCAATGTGTGTATACCTATGCGTTTCATGCGTGCATATACAATGTGTGTATACCTATGCTTTACTTGCCCCAACTCAAACTTAGCATCCCATTTGCAATTTCAAGATATAAACATACAATTGAATATAATAGTCTATCAAATATAGGAATAATAGGGCAAATTCACCTCTTCTTGTGCAAGCTACTTGGTATGGACAATGGTAAGTTGGTGGGAATGGTGAAGATCTGGGTTGTGAGGATATCATGAAGTGATTTGTAGTTTAAAAAGTATTTCCTCCAGGTTTAATACTTTGCCATGCACAAGAATAATTGCATGGATTTGGATGTTGTCTTAGAGATCTAGCAAGAGATTATTGATAATATGTGGATCAGAAAAAACTTTACCAACAAAACAATTTATGTTGAGTAATACCTAGTGATTATATAGACACATGAAGTTTTAGGTTTTTCATTTTCACATTAAAAAGTGAATTCAAGCTTCCAACTTAAATTATTGCAATATGGTGTACAGCAAATAATTTGTGATAGCAATTTTGGGGGGAGGTACACTTCTTAAGAGGGGATGAGATAGGTGGCTTAGTAAAAAATTGTGCAAGTGTGTAAAATATATTTAAGAAAGCACATTGTTATAATATATATATGATTCACAAAATAGTATTTTGAACATAACTTTTTTTTACGCTTGGGCATGCATTGGTATTTACCATATATACATGACTCTGCACCAGATTGACTTTGGGTTAAGGCTTCTAGATCTGATGTTTTTATTGCATAAGTTGGATTTTGAACATTTTTTTAATGCCACAGGTTGAGCTTATTATTATTGCATGCTTAAAGCACTCTCAATGGAAAACACTTTTTATATTAAGCCCAAGCACAATAAATCCCTATAATGCTAAAAATATTTGCATGTGATTAAAAATATGAAAAATCAATGGAACTAATGCTTTATTGTGGCTATAGCAAGATCCACTTGCTTGCAAAAAACCATTGCACTCAATGCCCCAAACATCCAAAAAACACTTTATATTAATCTTCACACTTCTATCAATCACACTTGCCTTTACACTAGTCAATCATTATTTAGATTAAAGTGTTGCATTGCAAACAAGTTGCAATAGCACTTGCAAGAGTGATTGAAGCATTATGCTAAAATTAGTATGTGCTGCAATTGAAATATGCCTTCAAGCCATGAGAAATGAGGCATAGTCATGTGGAATAAGAGGTAAATAAAACATGTATAAAGGAAGAAAGAGATGATTACAATTAAAAAATAACAAATTTGCAGTTAATGACATAATAAATTGCTACATGTTGCATGTAGCGACGTTTGGTTTGCTTAATAGTAGTTTTATTATTACTTATTAATCCTATTTATCAAATAAAGTTTATAATTATAAGCATGTTTGTAATTTATAAACACAAGATTAATCTTATTTCATATCAACCATTAAATGATAGAATAAAAAAGAATATAATAGAAAGGGTTTAAGAAAGTTTATAAATTATAAACATATTTATAAATTATAAATACAAGATTAATCTAAATGAATAACAACTGTTAGATGGTAGAATATCCTAGAATTCCAAGCATATTCTATGTATATTCACTACCATCCAGATTTGCTTAAGCAAACCAAAAATGAGAAGAACAAAAACCTTTGCTAAATTTATAGTGACATCATGTTATTAATATAATGTGGCATCAATCTTGTGTGGCAGTATGAGTTGTCATGCCCCATACATGCATGTCATATCCCATGACAAAAATATTATACATACAATGACATTTCAATTGGTTATACAGCAATCAAAAAAGTGATGGTATGTAATATTTTCACATGCAACTCAAAATTTTAAAAAAATGCATAGATGTAAATATATAATACTCCCATATATAATCACATATTTCTTGCCATATTAGACATGCTAAACTTAAACTTTTCAAAGGCAGACCTAGCCCAAATCAGGGAGGAAGAAGCCTTGGCACACACATGTGGGCACTAGTCATATTTTGAAAATACTATAATTTTTCTTATAAAAATTGGAAGTTTTTAAACTTGTTGAAACTATTCTTTTATGCCACATATGAAAAAGACAATGTTATGTGGGAAATGCAATGCATCATGTCATCATGGGCCATTTTACACATCAACATAACAATGGGGTTAGGTGGCACTAAGTGGGGTCTTATTTTCAATGTGTTTAGATTGTGTGAGTGCCACTCTTGATTGGCATTAATAGCATGTAGACTTATAAGTGAGGATCATGGTAAAGATTTTATTCTTTGGTGGCTTTTCCATGAATGGGAGACCAATTTTACAATATGGGAGTTTGTTTTGTTTAGAGATAATCAAAGCTGCACCTCATCTCCACTAATATAAGTGCATGGAATATAGAAAAAGAATACAAAAATGTGAAGATCCATTAACCCAAAAACCCTAGCTTATATACATGAGCAAGTAATCCAGATTGAAACCAATTTAATGGTTATCAAAATCTCATTATGCTAATTTTAGTGTATGGCCGTTAATATTAGTATACAACATCATAGTTGTACACACTAAAAAATTATTTTATTATATATATATATATATATTTATGGGTTTAAATTGATCATCAAGATGAGGTAATAAATATTATCATTTCTATCAAATTAAAAAGTTTAAAATATTTATTTTCATTTAGTCTAGTGTAGCTAGATTCTTTTCTAGTCTATAATAATTGAGATTTAACAAATTATTATTATAATATATAAATAATTTGTTGCTTTGTTTTCTTGTTAGTATTTATTATTATAACATACAGCTTATTAACTTGAGTTTTCTATATTTTACTTATATTGAACATGCTTAACCTTTAGATTTAATACCATTTGTGAGTGCATGGAATATGAAAAAGGAATATAAAAATTGTGCATATCAAATAGCGCAAAAACCCTAGCTTATATACAGAAGTGAGTGGTTCAAATTGAAACTAATTTGACAGCTACCAAAATTCCATTACGCTAATATTAGTATATGGCATCGTAGCTATACATTTAGACCTTATATCATCCCCTGCTCTCGGAATAATGGAAAACCATTAGGGTTATCTTATGGATGGGCCGGGATCTAAAGGAACATCAAGACGAGGCATCGGCGGATTTATAAGTGGTATTAATTATTCCCATTCCCTTTGTATAAAGTGTTTCAACAGTTGCATGTGCATAATTTTTAGAGGATCAGCTTGTTGGACGTCATGCTGAACCTTATATACTTGTGGTCCAACTTGCTACAACACATGATACGGTCCTTTCCACTTAGCAAAGAGCCTCTTAGATAAACCATGTACCGTAAGATGGGGAAAATAGACTAGCACCAAGTCGTCCACTTTGTACTCTGCAGGTGGATGATGATGGGAGTTGTAGCACCGTTGTTGTCCCACTTGTACACAACTTAAGTGTTCAGTAGACTCTGTTTAGACAAATGGAAGAATGCTCATCAAATGCTGATCCCACGGCCTAGCATTGGCAGCTTATGGCAATTGCGAAGGTAAATTTAGCTCTGTTGGTAATATTGGATCATGACCATATAGGAGTTTATATAGTGAAGCATCAACAGAACTCTGCACCCCTATGATATATGCATATTGAAGAGATAGCAAATAACCATCCTAATCCGAATGCTGAAAATTCACATACTTCGCAATCATTCTTTTGAATATCCAAATGAGTTGTTTCACCAAATTGTTTGACTATGGATGATAAGCACTCGTGAAAGTGTGGCATATCCCCAACTGAGACGTCAAAACATGAAATGCCTCAGCTATAAATGCAGGACCATTATTCGAAAGAATCCGCTCTAGACAAGAATGCTGGAACACCACTCGATTGAGGAGGAAGTATCCAACAGCAGTTGCA